TGTGTTAGAGTTTTGGTTAGAGTTGTGTTAGAGTGGTGTGTTAGAGTTTGTGTTAGGTGTGTGTTAGGAGTTTGTGTGTTCGAGTGGGTGTGTTAGAGTTTGTGTTAGAGTTTTGTGTTCGAGTCGTGTGTTAGAGTTTGTGTTAGAGTGTCGTGTTAGCGTTTGTGTACTAGAGTGTGTGTTAGAGTATGTGTTAGAGTGTGTGTTAGGTTTTGTGTTAGAAGTGTGTGTTAGAGTTTGTGTTGAGTGTGTGTTTGAGTGTGTGTTAGAATGTGTGTTAGAGTTTGTGTTAGAGTGTGTGTTACGAGTGTGGGTTAGAGTGTGTGTTAGAGTTTGGGTTAGAGTTTTGTGTTAGAGTTTGTGATAGAGTTTTGTGTGTAGAGTGTGTGTTAGAGTTTGTGTTAGAGTTTGTGTTAGAGTGGGTGTTAGAGTTTGTGTTAGAGTTTGTGTTAGAGTTTGTGTTAGAGTGTGTGTTAGTTAGTGTTAGAGGATGTTAGAGTGTGTGTTAGAAGTGTGTTAGAGTTTGTGTTAGAGTTTGTGTTAGGAGTGTGGGTTAGAGTTTGTTGTTAGAGTGGTGTTTAGAGTTTGTGTCATAGAGTGTGTGTTAGAGTTTGTGTTAGAGTGTGTGTTAGGAGTTGTTTTAGATTTGTGTTAGAAGTGTGGTAGAGTTTGTGTTAGAGTTTTGTGTTAGAGTTTGTGTTAGGTGTGTGTTTGTTTGTGTTAGGTTTGTTAGAGTGTGGTTAGAATGTGTGGTAGAGTTTGTGTAGAGTTTGTGTTTGGTGTGTGTTAGAGTTTGTGTTAGAGTTGTGTTAGAGTGTGTGTTAGATTGGTGTGTTAGAGTTTGTGTTTGAGGGTGTGAGTTAGAGTTTGGGTTAGAGTTCTTGTGTTAGAAGTGTGTGTTAGAGTTTGTGTTAGAGGTGTGTGTTAGGGTTTGTGTTAGAGTGTGTGTTAGAGTGTGGTTAGAGTGTGTGTTCGGTTTGTGTTAGAGTGTGTGTTAGAGTTTGTGTTAGAGTGTGTGGTAGAGTTTGTGTTAGAGTGTGTGTTAGAGTTTGTGTTAGTGTTTGTGTTAGAGTGTGTGTTAGAGTTTGTGTTGAGTGTGTGTTAGAGTGTGTGTTAGAGTGTGTGTTAGAGTTTGTGTTAGAGTTTGTGATAGAGTGTGTGTTGTTTGTGTTAGAGTGTGGGTTCGAGTTTGTGTTAGAGTTGTGTTAGAGTTTGTGTTATGTGTTGTGTTCAGAGTGTGTGTTTGAGTTTTGTGTTAGAAGTGTGTGTTAGAGTTTGTGTTAGAGTGTAGTGTTAGTGTTTGTGTTAGAGTGTGTGTTAGAGTTTGTGTTAGAGTGTGGTTAGAGTTTTGTGTTAGAGTGTGGTTAGAGTGTGTGTTGTTTGTGTGTTAGAGTTTGTGTTAAGAGTGTGTGTTAGAGTGTGTGTTAAGTGTGTGTTAGGTTTGTGTTAGAGTTTTGTTAGAGTTTTGTGTTAGTGTTTGTGTTAGAGTTTGTGTTTGTGTGTGTGTTAGGTTTGTGGTTAGAGTTTGTGTTAGAGTGTGTGTTAGAGTGTGGTTAGTTTGTGTTAGAGTGTGTGTTAGAAAGTGTGTTAGAGTTTGTGTTAGTTTGTGTTAGAGGTGTGTGTTGAGTTTGTGTTAGAGGTTGTGTTAGAGTTTGTGTTAGAGTGTGTGTTAGTGTTTGTGTGAGAGTGTGTGTTAGAGTGTTTTGGGCTTAACGGGGGTGGTTAGAGTTTGTGTTAGAGTTTTGTGTTAGAGTGTGTGTTAGATGTTTGGTTAGTAGTGTGTGTTAGAGTTTGTGTTAGAGTGTGTGTTAGAGTTTGTGTTAGAGTGTGTGTTAGAGTTTGTGTTAGGAGTGGTGTGTTAGAGTTTGTGTTGAGTTGCGGTTAGAAGGGTGTGTTAGAGTTTGTGTTAGAGTGTGTGTTAGCGTGTGAGTTAGAGTGTGTGTTAGAGTTTGTGTTAGAGTTTTTGGTAGAGTGTGTGTTAGAAGGGTTTGTGGTTGTTAGAGTGTGTGTTAGAGTTTGTGTTAGAGTGGTGTGTTATGAGTTTGTGTTAGCGTTTGTGTTAGAGTGTGTGTTAGAGTTTGTGTTAGGTGTGTGTTAGAGTTTGTGTTAGTGTGTGTGTTAGGAGTGGGGGGGAGTTGTGTAGCGTGTGGTTAAAGTTGTGTTAGAGTGTGTGTTAGAGTGTGTGTTAGAGTTTGAGTTAGAGTTTTGTGTGGATGATGAGAGGCGTCAGTATGTGCAGCTGGTTTGGGAGTTAACCAAACAAGTGGTGTTTGAAACGTGGAGGCGTCACCGAAGATGTTCAAGAAGTGACAACAGTTTGTTTTGGAAAGTTTACTCACATTTATTGTTTGGAGATTTCTCATGAGCCCCATTTCCAAGCCCTACTCTACTTACTGCGACCTACTCTACTCTTACTTACTCTACTTTCTCTACTCACTCTCTACCTCCACTCTAGGAACATGTTGTCCTTGAGGGGTATTCAGATTGAGTCGTCAGTGTGTGATTTAAATCTAAAATCTGCTCAAGGCAATTTATTTTGTCTAATACTTCCAGAGTAACCGTATGGAGCTGACCCGGTTCACAGCCCACGGCAAATATGAATTAAAATGTTGGTATTGTGGTGGGCCACAGTCCCTCCTGTGGGGCCCACCACATTACCAAATTTTTATTTTCATTTTGCCGAGGGTGATGAAAGGGGTCAGCTCCAGCGGTTATCTGGAAGCTTTTTGACAAATAAATTGCCGTTGAGCATATTTTTGATTATAGTCACATTGACGACTGTCAATCTGATACCCCGCAAGGAAGCAACATGTTCGAGTGGGAAAGAGTAGAGAGGTGAGTAGAGTGATGAGTAGAGTAGTGTAGAGTGAGTGTAGGGCTAGGAGGTAGTGGAGAGTTGGGGCTGAGTGGAAAGGGGGCTGGAGAAAAGCTCCAAAATATAAAGGTTGAGGTTATTCTGGTCAATACAACGTTTGGACGTATTGAACTGTCGGGCGGTGACGCCGTCCATGCGTTTCAATAACAACCACGGGGGTTGGGGTGCCATAAACGCTAGCGGCACTTGCGGTACGCCGAGCAGCATACACATCAAACGCGATCATACAATAACGCGTCATCTTTCGCGTTACTCTATCGCGATATCTATCGCTTACTCATCTCGCGATCTCTATCGCGATTCTCTATCGGGCGTTCTCTTCGCGTACTCTCACGCGATCACATTCGAGTATTACCTCATCGCGTACAACTGTGCGATTCACATCTCTCTAACTCTTCTCTGGATCAAAACGGTTTCGATACTCATAAGCGTTATCTTTCGCGTTCCACACACGCGTAACTCTTACGCGAACTTCAAATCGCGAATCATTCTCTACGCGTTCTATCCAGCGATTCTATCAAGCGTTATCATTCGCGTTCTCACTCTGCGTTCATCCACATTTGTAATCACATTTAGAGTAAACTCTTCGCGATCTACTATTCGCGATCACATCTCGCTTTCTCACTAAGCGTTCATAAACGGCGAACTCAATCGCGATAACACTACGTCGAACTCATATGCGTATCATCTAACGCGATTACTACTATACGAGTACTCTTACGCGTTCACTCTCGCGAACTCCCGACAGCGTACACTATCAGAGTATCTCACGCACGATCTATTTCTCGTACACTATACGCGTTCTCAATTACGAGGTTACACTCGCGATTCTCTATTATCGAACTCTATCGCGATTCACTCTGGGCGTTCTCACCTCGCGTTCATTCATATCGATATCATCACTCGCGTACATCTCACGCGTTCTAATAAGCTATTCACTATTCGCGATCTCTTCTCGCGAACACTTAAACGCTTGACTCATACGCGTTAAATCTTTCGCAGTCACATAACGTATAACACCATAACGCGTATCACACACGCTTACACTCGTCGAACTACTCATACGCGTTCACTTATCGCGTTCTCATCAGACGTATCTCTCACGCGTTACAATCTCGCGCTACTACAAAATATTCGCGTATATCTAACACTCGATCTCCTATTCGATATCTTCTCGCGTTCTCTAATCACGAATCACACATCGCGATCACTATATACGCGTAACACACTCTCGATACATCAAAACGCTAACAACACGCGTTCTCATTTCGCGATACTATCGCGTCAAACTCGCGTACATCAAACGCGTCCTCACACGCGGAACTATCAACTAAATCTACACGATATCTCAATAGCGATAAAACTATTCGCGATAACATACTACGCGAACACATAACGGTTCACTCTCTCTGTAACAAACTCGAACACACCATGAACAATAACGCTTATCATCAAAGCTAACACACACGCTAACTACAAACTCGAACACAACTCTTTAACACAATCTACTAAACACACACCCTTAACACAAACTCTAACACCCACTCTAACACCACACTCTACACACCCTCTCACAAACTCTACACCACCACCTTACACACAAACTCTAACACACACTCTAACACAAACTCTAACCCACCCTCTCAACACACTCTAAACACCCCACTCACACACCACCCTTAACACACACTCTAACACAATTAAACAAACTCTAACACACACTCTAACACAAATTAACACAAACCTCTCAAACACACATTCACCACCCCTTTCTACAAACCAAACTCTAACACAAATAACCACACACTCTAAACCACAAAACTCAAACACCAAACTCTTAACCCAAAACTCTAACACACACTCTAACACACAACTCTAACACAAACTCTAACACACACTCTAACACAAACTCTACCACCCACACTCCCCCCAACCATAAACCACCCACATACCCCCCCCCCCACTACTACACCACCACCCCATTACCCCACCACCCCTCTAACCACCACCCTCTAAACACACATATTACTCACACACACACTCTAACCACCTCTACACAAACTACCCCCCACTCTAACACCAACCTCTCACACAAACTCTCACCACACCACCACTAACACCCACTCTAAACACCACCTCTAACCCCCCCCCCCTCATTCCCCCCCCACTCTACCCCACACTCTCCCCCCCACCCACACCCCCCCCACTCACACCAATCTACCCCACCACCCTCCAACACCACACTCACCACACCCCTCACCCCCCCACCCCCTTCCCCACCCACATTCTCAACACACACTTAACCACCACATCTACCCCAACCACTCTAAACCCACCACTAACACAAACTCTAACACACCCACTAACCCCACACCCTGCACCCCCCCCCCTCTAACACAACACTCTAACACACACTCTCCCAACCAACCTCTAACCCACACTCTAACCAAACTCTAAACCACACCCTCTCACACACCACTCTAAACACCAACTCTAACCCCCACTCTAAACCACACAACACTTAACACACACTCTAACCCCACTCTAACAAAACTCTCAACACACTAACCACACTCTAACCACACACTCTAACCCAAACTCTAACACCACACTCTAACAAACACTCTAACCACAAACCCTCTACACCCCCCCCCCCACCTCTCAACCCCCCACCTCTACAACCACATCTAACACCAAATCTAACACAACTCTAACCCACACTCTAAACCATCTAACCCCACTCAACAACAACTTAAACACTACACTCCTAACACACACTCTAACACAAAACTCTACCCCACAACCTCTAACACAACTCTAACACAAACTCTACACACAACACTCTAAACACATTTACCAAAACTCTTAACACCAACCTCTAACCAAACCTACACACCCCTCTACACCAAACTCTACCCCAAAACTCTAACACAAAAACTCTCCCACCACACTCCTAAACCCCAAACTCTCACCCCCCCCAAACTCTAAACCCACACCTCTACACACACCCACATCCACACAAACTCTAACACAAACCTTAACACAAACTTTAACACAAACTTCTAACACACACTCTAACACAAAACTCTAAAACACACTCCACCCAAAACTCTAACACAAAACTCTACCACACAACTCTAACACAACTCTAACACAAACTCTACACTCACTCTAACCAACTTAACACTCTAACACACACTCTAACACACTCTCTAAACACAAATCTAACACACACTCTAACCACACCACCTCTACACAAAACTCTAACACACACATTCTAACACACACTCTAACACAACTCTAACACACACTCTAAACACCCACACCTCTAAACCACCAAACTTAATACACACTCCTAACCCCAAACTCTGACCACACACTCTACACACCTCTAACACACACTCTAACTCAAACTCTAACACAACTCTAATACACAGTCTAAACACACACTCTAACACACACTCTAACACACACTCTAACACAAAAACTCTAATTCAAACTCTAAACACAAAACTCTAGACACACACTCTACACACAAAACTTAATACACACTTAACAACAAGCTGGACACACACTCTAACACAACTCTAACACAAACTCTGACACACACTCTAACACACACTCTAACACAACTGAACACACACTCTAAACACAAACTTAATAACCAGTCTAACACAGTCTAACACACACTCTACACACACTCTAACACACAACTCTAAACACAAACTCTGCACACGCTCTAAAACACACCCTCTACCCACCACTCTAAACACACTCTAACACAAACTACTATACACAGTTAACACACACTCTAACACACCACTCTAACACACACTCGCACACAAACAGCAGAACTTATAATTAAATCCATCTCACCTAGAACACTTTTCTTCTATCTTCTAATCACGAGTTTTCCTGTGTTTTCGTTTTAAATCAATACAATAAATTGATTATAGCTTTATTTAGGGGCACAATGGAATAACTCCCAGACTGGATAACTGTGCATATGAGTCACAAATATCAATTAATTGGCTCATTTATTGATTAAGTAATCTCCTGAGTCCTTTAATATTTAATTTGTCATTTCTCTTCATTAGATATCTGAAGGTAGTGATTTCTTTTCAAATCGTGACCCATTTCTGGAGTTACAAGTACAAATATCACTTTCAGAAAAGATGGTTTTGTAGATTTAATGATAGTATACACAATACAGACTAGATTATGATAATATGCAAATTGTCAAGAATAACATGAAGGGAAGTGATTTCAAGATACAATTATTAAATGCTAGGCTAACAGTGAGTAAGCCAAGACCTTTGTCTTGAATGGTTTTGGTATAGGCTTGAGGCCGGCATGGTGTTCAGCTTTGGTAAGGAAGTATTCCTTTTGTAGGATAGGTTTTACTAAAGCCAACAGCTTTTTGGTATCAGCGAGAGCCAGATCCTAAAACCCAGAATAAGCTTTGGTGAAATAAGCAGTCCTTGGGTATTGGATGGTGTGGGGATGGAGGCTTCTTGTCACGGTGGCCTGGACCATGCGGCTGATCAGTGGGCTGAACCAAGTCCCCTCCCCACGGATCCCACAGTCTAGGTGCCCAAAAACTCAGAGCGAACTTCTTCATGGTTGAAGCTGGAGGGTATTGAAGGGTTGTGGAAGTCCTCTCAAACGTGGTGTGAGGTTTGAGGCATCTCAGAGGCCCAAAGCCCCTTGGTGCCTGAGCAGAGGACCAGGGAGGTCTGGGCACCTCCGTGGGTTCCCAAAGCAGACTGGGTTTTTTTCCTGTGGGTCCTTGTAAGTCTTCACATCTTGTAGAGTCCCCCCCCCCCCCCCCCCCCCCACCCCCCCCCCCCTTGGGGGAAGGGTGTTTGACATGGCACTTATCTTAAGACATTCTTACCCACAATAAAAACCTGAACCACAAGGATTTAAACAAGTGGAGACAGACGATATAATATGTCTCATTATACAAACTAAATGTCTTTGCTTGAGGAAAGAGGTCATTTTATTTATCTACAACCCCCCCCCTTTGTGTCCAGTCCGCAAACAAAGCGAATGAGGTTGATCACAACATATTTTTGATTATGACCGCTTGACTAACGTTCATGTCCAATTCTTTAGGGGCAGAGCTTCGCAAGTGGCGGCTGGTTGAAATTTTTCTACTGGGGGGGCTATGATATGAGATAGATATTACAGCGGGTAGGGATGCTTTTGATCCTACCCTGAGCTTTCATCCAGCTGGGATGAAAAATATTTATCTTCCCAAACATAGCTAATTGAGGCATTTTGCGCTGTGGTTTTGTGGATACCAGGTCTGCTCATGCTTCCTTTGCCTTTTCTAACCAAAGTGCTTCAGACAAGTCATACCTGTCTTGGATCCATGCTGGGTCAGATTCCTGATGTTTTGTCACAAGAGGCTGGAAAGCAAAATAAAGCAATTAGCCTCGCTCCATGCTGCTAGCCAGATTTGGCGCCTGAACCAGGTCCTGGGGAAAAGTACGAGGGTACCGTCTCTCCCCCTTGTCGCGGGACTGCTGACTAATCGGTAATATTTGGCCTGAATCAGGTCCCACAAGCTCTTTAACCTCAACCTTCTCCTGGTATGATCTGTTCCGCAAACGGTATTGTTTGAGTGATTAACTGCATTATTCTTTTTCTGTTCTCCATTGTGGGTCATCTTTACGTTCGTTTCTCAAACTCCCACAGCTTGACCTGTCAATCACTGTAAGACGGACGTCACACGACAGTGAGTTACAAGGTCTGCGGGCGATCCCGCCCCTCAGGCGCAATTCCTGCGCCCCAAATGTTAATCTTTGCATTTGAAGAGGAGCTACTGCGCATGTCCAACTTTTATCGAGACGTCCATAGACGGCTCAGGGCGCAATCTTTTGCGCCCTGAGCGGGAATGGGAAATACGTCCTCAGTCCGACACAGAAACGTGATGAGCTTAATCAATCCCTACTCGCATAAACTATTAAAGTAGTTCTTCCACATATGAAATAAAACACTCACATAAAATTTCGAAATATTTTAATGTTATTATGTTTTTTTAACTTTTGATCAAGGTAACATGAGCAAGGTTCGTGAGTGGTGGGCGGTTGTTGCCTAGCGGCCCTTCTAGTGGCCGCCGCCCTGCTCTCTGTAGGAGGCGGACGAGTTCTCAGTTATTTCTCCTACAGATATTTATGAACAAAAGTAGAACATGAATTTGCCAATGAGACAAAACAAATGATTTGTTATAAAAATCACTCCACTTCAAGATACTTTTCAGCGTAGCTGGACAATGCTAACCTGCTCGTCAAAGCAGCCCCATATGGAAAGTGCTCATGGAATGAAGTTTGGCTCCAACTCTCTCTGGCTCCTACTGTGTTAAGCCCAATTCGCATAGGATTTAGTATCTCTGGTTAATTAGACATTCTCGAATGCGCCATGTCCTGTAATTTGTAAAGCGGTATAATTCGCTGCAAATTTCCCCCTCCGGTATTTGTCACAGACGCCCCAGTGATATTACTACTCCTGTAAGAATCTGCATTCGTGATTGTGTTGCTATTGACAACGAGGCGTTGTGTGCGTGAATATCTAGTCATTTCAGACATTTTACTTATCAAGGGTGAACGCGCTGCAAGTATCAAGAGGTGGGGCGGTAATTTGACAACGACCACAGGTGTTATACTAATCCCTTCTGCAAATAGGACTTTACATAAAAATCCTCTTTCACTGTAAACATTTGTGTCACAATCAGCCTTTTTTTATGGCTAAGAATCTGTGGTTTTAACGCTCCTGGTGTTGTATAATTTGTCTTGGAAATCCAAATCTGAGCAATATCAGGTATGGCTCTTAAAACTGTGGGGGGAAACTCCAGCTTGCCTTCGACAACCGTTTCTTAGCGACAGTCTGCCAGTGTTTACGGCGCTATGCATTGACGTCGAACCAAATGCCCATATAAGGAAAATAGCTCCAGCTAGCTTATCTTCAAATCGCCCTCCTCCACCTTCGGTTAAAACAAGTCTCCAAACTTGGGTTCGCTGGAACAACCTGCGGCCCATCTAGTGTCTGTTATGTGGTCTTCTTCTTGCTAACTAGCATTAGATAAAAAACTTCACAGTGTCTCCAGCCAACTTCAGCTAAGACTTATCAGAGTTTTTTTTAAAGGGGACATTTCTGGTGAACTACAGAGGACCTCTTAATTAACAGTTGTTCATCGCGGGGCGGACACTGATGGTGATGTTCCCACACGCTTCTGTCATTGTTGTACATGAGAATTACCTGCATGTTAGAATAGTATGTGTGAGGTTTTAGGCATTTTTTAACACACTTTTTTATTCCACAATTCACTCAATAAATTGTGGTGTGTTTGAGAAGGCCTACAGACTGAGTGCTGACCTGTTTTATTTTAATTATTCACCTTATCATCCAGGTTGAAAAGTGCTTGAAAACAGTTTTGTTGTTGTATGTTCATGACTATCGTGAGAGAAATATGTGGTGATTAAAAAGTAAGAGGCCGAGGAATGTGTGAGGACTCGATACAAGGTGAACCAGAGCAAAAAATGTTATAGTAAAATAATAATAATGAATAAACATTATTTAGGTCCCCGCCGAAGACCTAGGACACGCTGGAGAGGGGGTACTATGTCTCTCAAGCTGGCCTGGGAACGCCCTTGGGGTCCCCCGGATGAGCTGGAGGAAGTGTGTGTGAATAGGGAAGTATGGGGGCTCTGCTTCTAGACTGTTGCCCCCCGCGACCGGGAAACGGATTAAAGCGGAAGAAAATGGATGGATGGAAAGGGATGGCCATTTTATTTATATAGCACTTTTACATTTGAACCAAATCTCAAAGTTGTACAAACTGCAGCCTAAATAAAAGCAAACACCTAAAATCAGATAAAAGACCACACCAAAACAAATTCGCAGTACGCTTTAGTTAAAAGATGGCGTTTTGAGTCCCTTTTTAAAAAGTTCCACCGTCTGTGGGGCCTGAGGTGGTCCGGGCGGGCGTTCCCCAGAACGGGGAGGCAGAGAACCGGCCTCGAAGGCCCGGGTTCCCCATTTTCTTGAGCGTGTCCTGGGCGGGAGCAGTACGGTGTGTTGCTGACCGGGTTCTGCATGAGGAGTGTGGAGTGCGGAGGTCAGTGAGGTGGGGGCATCAGTGGAGACAGTGGTGTGGGTGGGGGCAAGGAGGATCGTGTATTCTATACGGAGAGTGAACGGGGACCAGTGGAGGGGTGTGAAGGATGGGGGGTGATGTGCTCATGCTTCGACCTCATCAGGACCCTGGCCACGCTGTTTTTGTACGTCCTGGAGCTTTTGTAAGGCTCCTGCCAGGGATCCGATGAGGATGTGCGTTGTAGTAGTCCCAAACCTGGAGGAGACAAAGGCATGGAACGAGCTTCTCTGCAGCCTGGAGACGAGAGAGACGGAAAAATGATGTAAATTTATTGTGACTTTAAAAATCAGAAATGTTGCTTTTTGTCTGCTTTAGCAAGCCACCTGTGGGCTCCATACTTATATATTTAGTACATGTAAAATTTGAATATTGGTCTATCATGAAGTTCATTTAAGTTCTTTAGTATAATAATAATAATAATGCAATTAAAAAATTATGAATTAATTACGTAGTTATTTTAAAAAAGCCCTCCAGGCTTCGTTAGACGCCGGTTCAGTTAGAAGTGATTTAATAGATTTCAAGCCAATTATTGCTTTAATTTAAATATGTAAACTCTTTTTTGCGCAAGACTTTTATAGTCCCTAACTCAAAGCCAGAAGTCGTCTGGAGAAATTGGAACGTTGTCGGATTCTATTCACAAAACAAGCCCATAAAGGCAACGAACCATGACGAAGCGGGTTAAATTGCTGTGCATGGGGATTGCAAGCCAAGGAGGAGCTTTGTTCAGGAGGGGGCGGAGTCAGATATGATATTAACATATTTCGCTAACAGCTGTTATCATGCTGTAGATTTATTATTGGGAAAGTTAGCAGTTGCAGTAGTTTAACACCAGTACTAGCAGTTGTAGCAGTAGCATTAGCAGTAGCAGCCAATCGAGCCCGTAGCATTAGCAGCAGCTAGTAGCCGTAGCCGCTAGTGCATTAGCGAGTGCATTCGCAGTAGCATTGAGCAGTAGCAGAGTAGCATTAGCATTATCCGCAGCTAGCCAGTAGCATATAGTAGCTGTAGCGTAGTAGCATTAGGCGGTAGTTAGTAGCAGAAGCATTAGCTTTAGCAGCTCAGCAGCAGTTAAACCCATTACAGCATGTCGCCTTACTGCAGCTTTACACCACAATACATATCTGAGTAGCCTGGATGTGTCTAAAAACAGCCTCAGCATTCGTTTCCAGGCCCGTGCTCTGAGTCTTGGGCGAGGCTCCTGCTCTGAGTGCTCGTCCAAAGTCTATGGTTCCACTCCACTTTATGGATTTGTTTGGATATGGGACGCTGAGATGTTTTGGCCGCGTGGCGCACGTGCAGGACGGAACTACCGGCAGACAAGCTCGTTACTTCCTGTGGTGGGGTGAGGACACTTCCCGATGTATGGGAGCGATGAGGGAGGATGAGCGAGGAAAAGGAGAGGGGCGAGAGCGAGAGAGAGAGATAGGGGAGGGAGAGGAAGAGAGACAGAGAAAAAAAGAGGGAGGGGAGGAGAGAAGAGAGCGAGAGCGGGAAGCGAGAAAGAAGCGATTTGGAGTGAGAGAAGCAGGAAGGGAGAGGAGAGAGGGGTGGGGGAGGAGAGAGGAGAGGGGGGATAGAGAGGAAGCGAGAGCGGGGAGAGAGAAAGAAAGTAAGAGAGAGGAGTGAGGAGAGAAAGGAGAAGGGAGAGGAGGGGGGGATAGCGAGAGAAAGGGACAGGCGAGGGAGAGAGAGACCCAGAGAAAAGAGAGAGGAGAAATGGGGGGGGGTAGAGGAAGAGAGACAGAGAGGAAGAGGAGGGAGGAGAGAAGGAGGAGAGGGAAGAGAGAGGGGGACAGAGAGAAAAGGAAGAGAGTGCAGTGAGAGAGAAAGTAAGAGAAGGGAGAGGGAGAATGTGAATGGAGGGTGGGAAAGAGGAGAGGAGGGAGAGAAAAAGAAGAGGAGAGAGGAGTGCGAGAAAAATAGCAGGTAGAGGATAGAGATGAGAGAGAGGGGAAGGAGGGCCTGGTGGCAACGCAAGACACATCTGGCAAATGAATCTTTGTGGAGGCGAGTGGGGTTCAGAGGCACAGGTGTGAATTAAAGGTTGATGTCTGTAAGTTCAATTATATTTGATTATAAGCATATTTTTACCACATGACGATAAATACTGCATCCCAGTTTATATGGCACTTTTTGGTCTTTCCCAGCCACAGAACCAACCAGGCCCTGCCTTGCTTAGCTCAGCTGTCTTCATTTCCACAATGCCATTAACGGACAAATGTAATAAAGATCTTCGAGAGCAGAGGAAAGTCGGTGTGTCTCTGCAATATTGTTGAAAGTAGCAGCTGTTTTGTTTCCGGTCTTGTGTAAAGCATTGAGCTCTTAATTTCAATGGAAAACGCTGTCAAAAACTCCCACAAACCGGATACTTATCTGAGTCAAGTTGTATTGTAGAAGGTCTCATTGTCTTAGTTACTTCAAAGTCTTTGTGGTCACATTTAGAATCTCCCAATCTTGCTCAAAAACACAATATAAAATGTATACCAGTCAGTTTATGTGTATGTGTCATTAGAGCCTAAAACAGAGAAAAAACAAATTATGGTGTCTTCCTTGGTCTCTCTCTGGTCTCACTTTGGTCTGTTGTCGGGTCTCTTTTGGTCTCTCTTTGGTCCTCACTCTTTGGTCTTCTCTGGTTCACTCTTTGGGTCTCCTACTGGTCACTCTTTGGTCTCTCTCTGGTCTCACTCGTTGGTCTCACTCTTGGTTCACTCTTTGGTATGTCTTTTGGTCTCACTTCCTTTGGTGTCTTTCTGGTCTCACTTCTTTGGTCTCTCTCTGGTCTCTCTCTGGTCTCTCTTTTTGTCTCTCTCTTGGTCTCCTCTCCTGGTTCGGTTCTAGGTTTCGTCTTTGGTCTCTCTCTGGTCTCTCTCTGGGTCTCGTTCTGGGTTTCTCTTTGGTCTCTCTCTGGGTCTCTCTTGGTCTCGTTCTTGGTTTCTCTTTGGTCTCTCTCTGGTCTCTCTCTTGTCGCGTTTCTCTGGTTTCTCTTTGGGCTCTCTCTGGTCTCTCTTGGTCTTTCCTTGGTTGTGGGTAAAATTCCTCACGTGTGCCTCAGGAGCTCAGTGTGAGGCTTCAGACACAAACATCTGCTGCAGAAACACGACGACTGCGTATTCTGACTGGTCACTTGTTTTAAAGCTCAGGGACGAAACTTTATGTTGTCCACTGATTACTACTGCTTGCTGCTATACCTAAAATTTACTTCTTCTGGTCTGGTCTTCTCTTGGTTCCTCTCTGGTCTCTCTCGCTGGTCTCTCGTTCTAGTCCTCTCTTGGTCTCGCTTTGGTCTCGATCTAGTCTCTGGTCTCTCTCTGGTTTCTCTCTGTCTCTCTCTGGTTCCTCTCTCTGGTCTCCCTCTGGTCTCTTTTCTGGTCCTCTTGTCGTCTTCTCTAGTCTTCTTTGGTGTCTTTCTGGTCTCTTTCTGTTCTCTCTCCTTTAAAACTTGACTTTCTGTAATTTCTTTCCTGGGACTGACGTGATTATAAAAACACCCAAAAATTAAAACATTCTGTGGGTATATTAAACCAAATTAATCTTTTAAAACCTATCCCAGAGAAAAGTCATGTTTTGAATCGTCTCTGAAGTAACTGTCGTCTCGACACGGGGGAATACGAATCTGTTTGTCAACACATGTCCTCATCCCACGGTATCTGGCAACCCTTCAGAACGCCTCCCTAATATTTGTGTTGATCTCAGAACCTGGATCCAAACCACTTTCAAAGATGTTTGTTTCCAAATCCTGGACGAGGCGTAAACCACGGCAACAGACTTGAGTTAAAAACAGGCAGCAGCGACGCCCCGAGGCCGAAGCGTGCCCCATGCAGACGCTCCCCCCTTACCTGTCATTACGGGGAGAGAGGATCTGAGGGGAGGGGAAGGGGAGAGGAGTCCCACAATATGAGGGGAGAGGAGAGGGGGAGGCAGAGGAGGAAAGAGGAGGCGAGATAGGGGGCACGGACGGAGGACAGGGCATGAACATGCGGAGGAGGTCCACTCATGGGGTACTAGAGTCTCAGCAGAAAGGGGGGGGGGGGGCGTGAGGAGGGGAGGAGATAAGTTGGGGAGAGGACAGGGGAGGATGGGAAAAATTAAATCGAAAGGGAGTGGGGAGGATGGAGAGGGAGGTGGATTGCCTTACATACTGTAATCATATATTGTTTTTGTCCAAACGACAGAGAAACAGTAAAAGGCTTGGTGTAGAACAATTTCAGACCTGGATCCCTGAGTCTGGTCCAGTCTGGTCAGTCCTGGTTCAGTCTGGTCCCGCGCTAAAATTGAAATTAAAAATGTGTTATATGAGCACTTTCAGATAAACAACATTCCATGACTTTTCCTTGAGTTTGGCAGGAAAACGGTCTCCCTCTCTCACTGCTCTCTCTGCTCACCTCTGTTCTCTCATTTCCACTCTCATGTTCCTTCATGTTCCCTCTCTATGTTCCTCCCTCTCCATGTACCCTCTCATGTTCCTCTCATGTTTCCTTCATGTTCCCTCTCATGTTCCCTCTTGGTCTCCCCAGGTTCCCTGGTCTTTCTGGTCTCTCTGGTTTCTCCTATTCTTGCTGCTCTAGCTGTTCTCTCCTTCTCTCTCCTGCTGTTCCCGGGTCTCTCTCATCTCTCTGTCCACTCTATCCTTCTCTCTCTGCTCTCTCCACTCTTCCACTCTCTCCGCTCTCTCCCGCTCTCTCTCTCTCCCCCCCCCCCCCCCCCTTTTGCTGAGACTATAGTCCCATGTAGTGGACTCCTCCTCAGTGTCCTGCCTGTCCTCCCCTATCCTCTCCTTCCTCTTCTCCTCTGCTCCCCTCTCCTCTCCCCTCATATTGTGGACTCCTCCCCCTCTCCCTCAGATCCTCTCCGTAATGAAGGTAAGTGGGGATCGTTCTGCACGCTTCGGCCTGGGCGTCCGCTGCTGCTGTTTTTTAATCAAGTCGTGTTGCCGTGGTTAGCCTCCTCCAGGATTTGAAACAAACATTCTTTTGAAGTTGGTTTGGATCCAGGTTTGAGATCAACACAATAGTAGGGTTCTGAAGGGTTGCCAGCTACCGTGGGATGCGGAATGTGTTGACTAAACAGATTCTTATTCCCCCGTTGTCGAGACGGACTGGTGACGTCAGAGGGACGATTCAAACAAGACTTAGCTCTGGGTTTTGTTTAATAAGATTAATTTTGTTTACTTATACCCCCACCAGCATGTTTAATTATTTGGTGTTTTTATAATCACCAGGTCCCAGGAAGCACTTATGAAAGTCAAGTTTTAAGAGAGAGACCAGGGATACGAGACCGAAAGTACTCAGAGAGAGACTAGGAGAGCACTACAGAGAGACCAGAAAGAGCCCAGGAGGGAGGACCAGAGAGAGCCCAGAGAGAGTACTAGAGAGAAACCAGAGAGAGACCAGCGACTAGAGCGAGACCAACGCGAGCCCAGAGAGAGATGAAAGAGAGACCCGGGAGAGGAGACCAGAGAGGAACCAGAGAGAGACCAGACCCAGACCAAATGTCATATTTAGTTATAGCGCAGCAGTAGTATAGTGGACCATAAAGTTAGGTCCTGAGCTTTACTGTGACGAGTCTGAATGACGCAGGGTCTCGTGTTTCTGCAGCGTGTTTGTGTCTGAGCCTCACATGAGTCTGAGGACACGTGAGGAATTTAACACACACCAGGAATGACCCGAGAAGACCAGAGAGGACCAAGAGAAACCAGAGAACGAGACAGAGAGAGACCAGAGGCGAGGACCAAAGAGAACAGAGCACGGACCAGAGAGAGGCCAGAGAGAGACACCAATGAGAAAAGAGAACGAGACCAGAGAGAGACCAGAGGAGTCCAAAAGAAACAGAGGAAACGAGACCAGAGAGAGACAGATGAGGAGACAAAAGAGAGACCAGAGAGCGGACAGAGAGAGACCAAAGAGGGAGACCAGGAACGACACCAAAGAGTGGAGGACCAGAAAGACCCAAAGAGAGAGACCAGAGTGAGATCCAAGAGTGAGCACCAGAGAGAGACCAAGAGTGAGACCAGAGAGAGACAAAAAGAGTGAGACAGAGTGAGCCAAAGCGTGAGACAAAAGAGACGACCCAAAGAGAGACCAGACAAACGAGACCAAGTGAGACAGACGAGAGACAGGAGAAACCCCATAGATTTGTTTCCTGTTTTTATGGCTCTATGACACATACACATATCTGACTGTACATTTATATGTTTTTGATCAATATTGAGATTCTAAATGTGGACAAGTCTTTAGTAACTAAGACAATGAGGACTTCTTCAATACAATAATTTGATCGTAAGGTTCCGTGTGTGGAGTTTTGACAGGCGTCCTTGATAATGAATGGATCATTGCTTCCACAGGACCCGAAACAAACAGCTGCCTACTTTTCAACAATATTGCAAGAGGACACACTGAGCTTTCCTCTGCTCTCGATGATTTTTATTACATTTTCTTATGGCATTGTCGGAAATTAAGACAGCGAGGGCAAAGCAGGGCAGGGCCCTTGGTTGGTTCTGTGGCTGGGAGACCACAAGTGCCCTATAAACTGATGCATTATTTATGTCATGTGGTGAAAAATAGGCTTTATATCAAATATACTTGAACCTAGACATCACCTTTAATTCACCTGTGGCTCTGAACCCCCGCTCTCCTCCACATAGATTCATGTTGCCAGATGTGTCTCTGCGTTTGCCAGCCAGGCCCTCTTCTCCTCTCTCTCATCTCTATCCTCTCCCTTCTATTTTTCTTCTCACCTTCTCACTCTCTTCTTTTTATTCCTCTCTCTCTCGTTCCTCCTCTCTCATCATTCTCCTCTCCCTTCTCTTTCTCTCTCACTCTCTCTCTTCTTTTCTCTCTCCCCGCTCCTCTTCCCTCTCTCCTTCTCTCCTCCCTCTTTCCCTCCTGGCTCTCTTCCTCTCCCCCCTCATTCTCCTCTTCTTTCTCTGTGTCTCTCTCTCCTCCCCTGTCTTTCTCTCTCTATCCCCCCTCTCCTCTCCTGCTCTTTCTCTTCACTCCTCTCTCTTTTTCTCTCCTCCCGCTCTCTCTTCTCTCTCTATCCCCCTCTCTCTCTCATCTCCCTTTTCTCTCTCTCTCACTCCTATCTCTTTTTTCTCTTCCCGCTCTCTCTTCTCTCTCTCTCCACTCTCTCTCTTTTTTCTCTGTCTCTCTCTCCCTCCCCCGTATCTCTCTCTCTCTCTCTCGCCCCTCTTCTTTCTCGCTCTCCTCCTCTCTTCTCCCACAATCTGGATTTGTCCTCACCCCACACGGAAGTATCGAGCTGTCTGCCTGATATTTCCTGTCTGCAGTGCGCAACGGGCAAAACATCTCAGCTCCCATTCCAACAAATCATAAATGTGGAGTGGAAACCATAGGGATGTGGACGAGCACTCGAGCTGAGCCGTCGCCAGAGATTCAGGAGCCCGGGCCTGGAACGATTGTGGCTGTTTTTAGACACATCAGGCTACTCAGAATATGTATGGTGGTTAAAGTGCAGTAAGACAATCGTAATGGGTTTACTGCTGCTGCTGCTAATGCTATGCTTTTGCTACTACGTAATGCTATGCTCCTGTACTAATGCTATGCTACTGCTGATAATGATTACTGCTACTGTGCTACTGCTAATGCTATGCTAATGCTACTGCTAATTGCTACTGTGCTACAGCTACGGCAGTGCTAATGCTACTAGCAACTGCTGCTATGCTATGCTTACTGTACTATGCTGTCCTGGTGTATATACTACTGCTACCTGCCTACTTCCACAATATTAAATTGACAGCATGATAACAGGCTGTTGCGAAATATTGTTAATATCATATCTGACTCCGCCCCTTGAACAACTGCTCCTGGCTGGCATCCATTCACCGCATTTACCCTCTTCGTCAATGGTTCTTTGCCTTAGCTTGTTATGTGACGAATCGACAATTTCATTTCTCCGAGACGACTTATGCTTTGATTTAGGCCTATAAAAAGTCTTGCGCCATAAACTAGTTTACTTATTTTAAAATAATCAATAATTGCTTGAAAAATCTATTAAAATCAACTTCTAAACTTGAACCGCGGTCTGAAACGGTGCCTGGAGGGCTTTGTAAAGAAAATACTTAATTAATTATAATTTTTTAATTGCAATTATTATTTTTATTATTATTATAGAACTTAAATGACTTATGATAGACCAATATTGCCCTTTTAAATGTCTAAATTATAATTATGAGCCACAGGTGTTTGCTAAAGCAGACAAAAGCACCATTCTTATTTTTAAGTCCACATTAAATCATCTATTTTCTCTCTCTCTCCCGGCTGCAGAGAAAGCTCGTCCATGCCTTTGTCTCCTCAGGTTGGACTACTGCAACGCCTCCTTCAATCGGGCGATCCCATGGCAGGAAGCTTCAAAAGTCCAGTCGTACAAAACAGCGTGGCCAGGGTCCTGAATGAATGGGTGCGGAAGCATGAGCACGATCACCCCATCCTTCACACCCTCCACTGGCTCCCGTTCACCTCCGTATTAGACTACACGATCCTCATGCCCCCCCCACACAGTCTCCACGGCTGCCCCCCACCTCCACTGACCTCCTCACTCCACATCCTCATGCAGAAAACCGGTCAGGCCAAACAGCACCGTCTGCTCCCGCCCAGGACACGGTCAAGAAAACTGGGGGGACCGTCCTTCGAGGCCGCTGCTCCCCGTCTGTGGAACGCCTCCCCGGACCACCTCAGGGCCCACAGACGGTGGAAGTTTTAAAACGGACTCAAAACCATCTTTTAACTAAAGGCGTACTGCTAATTTTTTTGTGTGTCTTTTATCTGATTTTATGTGTTTGCTTTTATTTTATGCATGCTGTTTGTAGCACTTGAGTTTGGGTGTTCAAATGTAAATGTGCATTATAACTAAAATTGCCATCATTTCCATCCATCCATTTTTCTCGCGCTTTATCGTTGGGGTCGCGGGGGCAGCAGTCTAAGCAGTGACACCAGGACCTTCCTATTCAACACACTTCTC